CAGGGGGTAAGGGGGAACTGTACCTTGAAAGGTTCATTGTTTCTCTCTTTTTCAGGACTTCCAATAATTGTCCAGTGTCCCCTATGGTGCTGGAAAAGTGGAGACACTGCACAAAGCAGTAGCTTTGATGCTTATTGTGGTAGGAACCTGCAGCATTTCTATGAGCTCCTTTAGGGAGCAGCTACTGTCCCCTATGCTACATAAAGTTAGAAGAGAATGGAATGGAATGGAATGGAATGGAATGGCTAGTTGGAAGGGACCTACAATGATCATCTAGTCAAACTGCCTGACCACTTCAGGGCTAACTAAGAGTTAAAACATATTATTCAGGTCATTGTCCAAATGTCCCTTAAACACCAACACAGAAGGATGGTGCATCGACCACATCTCTAGGAAGCCTATTCCAGGGTTTGACCACCCTCTCAGTAAAGAAATGATTCCTAATGTCCAGCCTAAACCTCCCCTGGTGCAGCTTTGAACCTTGCCTATGCACCCTATTTCTGGATACCCAGGAGAAGAGCTCAGAACCGCTGTCTCAACTTCCTTTCCTCAGGAAGCTGTAGAGAGCAATGAGATCATCCCTCAGACTCTTTTTCTCCAAACTAGGCAAATCCAAAATCCTTAGCTGCTCCTCATAGGACATTCCTTCCAGCCCTTTCACCAGCTTTGTTGCCCTCCTCTGGGTGCGTTCAAGTACCTTAAAATTCTTCTTAAATTGTGGGGCCCAGAACTGCACACGGTACTCAAGGCGAGGCCACACCACACTGAATACACCAGGATAATCACCTCTTTTGACTGGCAGGTTATGCTGTGTTTGATGCACCCCAGGATGTGGTTTGCCTTCTTGGCTGCCAGGGCACACTGCTGGCTCATTGATCCTGCTGTCAACCAGCATCCCCAGACCTCTTTCTGCAGGGCTGCTCTCCAGCCACTCCTCTCCCAAATTATACTTGTGCCTGGCGTTACTCTGTCCCAGGTGCAGAATCCAGCATTTGGACTTGATAAATTTCATTCCCTTGATGATCATTCAATGCTCCAATCTATCTAGATCCCTCTGCAAGTTCTTTCATCCCTTGAGAGAGTCAGCAGCACCTCCCGGTTTGGTATTGTCTGCAAACTTGCTAATGGTGCCTTCAACTCCTGCATCCAGATCATTGATAAAATATTGAACCAGCCCTAGAATTGAGTCCTGAGGTACGCCACGGGTGACTGATCACCAGCCAGATGTAGCCCCATTCACTACAATCCTTTGAGCTCTGCCCTTCAGCCAGTTCTTCGCACAGCACACTGTGTACTTGCTCATCTCACAGTTAGATAACTTGTCCAGAAGGAGACTGTGAGGGACAGTATCAAAAGCCTTACTAAAATCAATCCAACCTACATCCACTGCTTTCCATTCATCCACTAGGTGGGTGACCTTATCATAGAAGGATATCAAATTAGTTAAACTAAGCTTTCCCTTTGTGAACCCATGTTAACTGTGCCTGATGATTGCATTGTTCTTTAAATGCCTTTCAGTAGCACCCAATATGATCGTCTCCATAATTTTTCCAGGAACTGAGGTTAGACTAACAGGTCTATAGTTTCCTGGGTCTTCCTTCATGCCCTTCTTGTAAATTGGAATAACATTGGCTAGCTTCCAGGCAGCAGGGACCTCCCCAGACTCCCAAGACTTTTGGTATATGATCAAGACGGGTCCCGCCATAACATCTGCTAGCTCCTTCAGTACTCCGGGATGAATCTCATCAGGCCCCATGGACTTATGAACATTCAGCTGGTACAAATGGTCACTTAAAATTTCAGTGTCCCCAAATGGAAAGTCACTGTTCCTGCACTCATGGTGCTCTGACTCTGAGGAATGGGCAGCCCAAGGTCTATCAATATTACTAAAGACTGAGGCAAAAAACACATTGAATGCCTCTGCTTTCTATTCATCCCTATTAGTCAGGTGACCATCATCAACAATTATTGGTCTAATGTTTTCTTTAGACCTCCTCTTGCTATTAACGTACTTAAAAAAGCCCTTCTTGTCTGATACAACACTGGCCAGCTTTAACTCTACTTGAGCTTTGGCCTTTCATGTCTTCTCCCTGCATATATGAACCACAGCACTGTAATTTTCCTACGAAGCCTGACCTTGCTTCCAGACATCATACAGTTTCTTTTTCCTTTTGAGCTCCAGAAGGAGTACCCTGTTCAGCCAAGCTGGTCGTCTCCCTGCTTGCTTGACTTAGGATACACTGGAATTGCCTGCTCCTGTGCTTTTAAAAGATGGTTCTTAAAAACTGACCAGCACTTGTGGACTCCCAAGCCCTCAAAAGCAGATTCCCAGGGGACACTGCTAAGTAGCTCCATGAATAGCTTAAAGTTTGATTTCTTGAAATCCAGGCTAGCAACTCTGCTATCCTTTTTTTCTCATTACTCTGACAATTTTAAACTCAATCATTTCATGATCACTGTGGCCAAGACAGCCACCTACTATCACATCTCCCACGAGTCCTTCTCTATTCACAAATATCAAATCTAGGAGGGAATCTTTTCTAGCTGGCTCACTGAGTACTTGTAGTTAGGTCAGTGGTAAGGCAATACAGGTTTGAAGTAACTGACTTCTGGAGAACACACCTTCTAGTCATGTTAGTGAAGTTGTATCCCTATTGCCAGATGCTGTAGGCTCTCCTATTTGTTTTCTTTGTCCATGAGAAATGTATGGTTCTTGATTCTACTGCCAGTGAGACACTGCTCTTTTGCTATGTCTGCTTTTTCATTTTCAGAAAGTACATTTAGGAAACTGGCCAACAAGTAGCCAGCTGGACTTCAACAAATACAACCTTTCAGAAAAGATGGAGCAGGCTAGCTTCCTTCAAGTTGTGGGCAGGTAAGTGAACAGCACATTATAGCGATGCTGTGGATGATAGTCTCAAAGAGTTCCCTAAGTCACAGTGGGATATAATCAAATGTTCTGCCACTAAAAACCTATACAAGTTGCTTTTGAGGATGGGATACAATTTTTTGCTATCTGGGTTAGCCTGCTTCTCCAAGAAAGATTTTTTTCTAACCCTATGTGTAGCTATGTGTGTTTTCAGCTAAGCTTGTTTTATACTTAATATTTACCACAACAATATCTCTCATGAGCAACTTTTAACTTTCCCATATTCAGGCAGTCGAAGATTTTGGCAGAGTCCTTTGAAGAGCAGGCAAAAAAGACAGATGTTTCTCATGTTGCACTGGACCTACAGAACTCATACCATACTTTAAATGAGCCACAGCATGTCCCAGTTGTCTGCTCAAGTCAGATTGCTGGTCATTCCTTTCCTGTTTCAAGGAGAAACAGTGCTGATGCATGTATTGTTTCCCAGACAGCAATCCCTTGCTTTGCTTTCAATGGTCCATACTTGTACAGCCCAGTGATGTCCTCCCAGCCTGATATGCGTCGCACCCTGGAAGTGGACCCAGTGGGAGTTCGTGAGAAATCAGGTTCCCTTCAGTATGTGACCCTCCCAAAGGAAGACTGTTCCCAGGCTCCACACAGGCGAGAACAGCCAGGAGCAGGTCCTCCACAGCCCTTCCCGCTCCCCCATCAGAAGGAAATGATGCAGCACCTCAACAATGAGAAACAAGTCTCACCAGCCCCACCAGCCTGGGGGGAAGGCACAAACATGAGAACAGAAGAGCAGAAATCTCCAAAGGCTCTTAGCTGTATCGCATCTCCTCAGCAGTGCCCCTTGGAGTACCTCACCCCAGAGAGCCTGTTACTGCCATCAGCCAGCGACTCCAGCCCTCCGCCACCGGTCGCTGCTGGGGAGTTACCTTGTGATTCACAGGAGCCCCAGCCCCACAGTGACCACTCTTGCCATGAGCCTTCTCCTGGGAAAACTGGTGTCATGGTCCCAGTTTCAGGTCAAGCACCAACCTCTTCTCCTGAATTGTGTCTGGATACATTTGGAGACTATCTTACTGTCCCTTTAGGTCTCCATGAACATTCAGAACCCGCAAAGATTTCTTTGCCTGTCTTACAGAAGGGAAATGATCTTCCTAGAAAGCAGCCTTTGTCAGAGGGTGACTTGGTGGTGTTAAACCCTGACAGCACTGAGCCAGTTTTCCTTTGCCAGGTTGGTGACTATTGCTTCCACAGCCTAAAATCCAGTGTGAAGATGGATATTAGTCAGGAAGACCACCAAGTCAAGAAACCTTCTGAAGGCAAGACAACACCTGGAAAGCCTGTATCTGATGATGAATCCATCGCTGGCAAGGAAAAGGATGTATCAAAAATGCAGGCTATTCAGCTTTTCAAAAACCTGAAATCAGATGATTACTTTTCCTGGCAGCAATCTTTGAGGATCACAGAAATCTGTTAAATGGGCAAATTTTAATGAATACCAAAGCTACAGGTAACTGAAAGAGGTTGCAACTATCTGATGAAAATGAACCCTCAAACCTAGGAACAAATAAACACCAGTACCCTTTTCCAGCTTCCAGTTAAACATGTTAAAAGACTTCAAGTAGCTCCATATCCTTCTCAGTCGCCTTCACAGATTTGGCATGAAAGACAATCCAAATAGTGCCTCTTGGTGTTTTTCAAACTTTTGGCTTATCCACAATGAACAGTTTAGCCTCCTCATGATGCTGTGATAGATCACAGTCATTTTGCAATAATACTAGATTGCCTGAGGCAAAAAATTGTGGCAGGAAATTCAGACTTAACAGCATAAAGCGCTATCAGAAGAAGACAGGCTTGGAAAGCTTGGAAAGAGAACATATATTCTTAAAAGCAATTTTGTTCAACTTGTGTGTGTGTATACAATAGACCTAAGAGTCACCAAGGAGCTTTCCTATCTCTATCTTTCCACTACTGGGATGAGATAGGTATTGTCTATGGTGAAAAAAACCCAGACAGTAATAGATGGGTAAATAAAAAATTAGAAAAAAATCGTTGAAGTTCAGGAAACCTTTGTTAATGTTAAGGTGCAGTGTATCACAGTAATACCTTACCTTCTAAAGGTAAGAAGGAAACATTACTGGGATACGTAAAGTAGGCTGGAGAGAACTATGGGGAAGAAGATACATTACTGAAAGAAAACCCAAGGACTTGTACAGTGCAGTGGGAGGGAGTGGGGCAGGTAAAAGAAAATGACATGCAAGAAATGTTATGAAGGTGCAAAAGCCTGTATCTGCTGGGGTTTTTCTAAGTGTTAAAGTACTATACGATTTTATTTTAAATTTATTAGCTGATTATGTATGATATAATTAATCTTAACAATGTAACAATCTTTTTTTTTCCTGAGTAATAAGCTGTGTTTAGAAAGAGGAGACATTTTTTTCCCAGTTCTGCTGTAAAGAAAGTGGTGCAAGGTAAGAGCATTTGTTCAGAACTGTCACTCTGTGATCAGTAAAAGGCTTTGGTTTCAGACCTGAAGGTGGGCTTGCATTCCAATAAAACACACTTCTTTCTTCAAATATAAAATTTGTACTAATAAAAAATATTATTTCTTCCTACAAATCTTTCCTTTCATATGTTAAGAGCATTGTGGTTACAATAGCATTGCTATTAGCTCATCTGATCAGGCCTCAAAAAATTCTGTAGGTTCAGCTATGTCACCTGTGAGGTAGGATGTTTTCTCCTGACTTCGCTATATTATTTGACAGAGATAATGAGAAGGAGTTTTGTGTTTGTGCCAGCTGATTCCTCCTGCTGGGTTAATGGGACAGTGCTGATTCAGAAATTGCAGTGAAATGCATTGTTTTTTTTCAGAATTTAAATCCTTGTAAGTACTATTTTAAATCTGTAAGGTGTGCAAGGTGTGTTTGGTGTTCTTGACAGCAAAAGGCAGGCAGCTGCAGCCTCTGATAGAGAATACTGATGAACACTTTAGGAGATTTTCAATTTAGTTCTGTCCTAATCAATGGATTTTTTTGTTAGTCTCTTCTTTGGTCTTGTATGAGTAAAACAAACAACTTCTTCCAGGCTTTATGATTGTGCTCCATCTAGGCACTACTGAAAGGAGATATTCAAATTCATATGCAAATTTGGTATCAGGATTCACATCTTAGATATGCATCACCTTGCTGGGCCTTGAATTGCTGTGGTTTTAATAACAAAGAAGAATAGTGAGCGGGAGAACTTCTATTCAGCTCAGTGGCTTTTCGATGAAGCCCATTTGCATTGTGATCAGTACTCCAGGTGCTATCTGTTCCTCCTGTCCTTCTGCACTTCACTGGGCATTTGCAGAGGCTGCTTTTGGATACAGGATTTATAGATAGAAGAATATTCGATATGACCCCACAGAGTAGATATTACAATCTGAAGATCACTTCAGGAGCCTGGAACTTGCAGAGTAACATGCTATTGTCAGGCTAGGGGAGCTGAACAGTGGTTTTCTTTTGCAACTATAACGATAGTTTTACGGCAGAATGAGTTTCTGCTCTAGGGAGGCGTTCAGTATCCACCTAAACATTATTAAATAAAATATGTAACGAACATTGGAACCAGGGGTCACAACCTATGTCTCTGCTGTGCCAGAGGAATTCTTACTGGATTACAGAATTAAAGCTTCCATAAACATGGTCTGTTGCTGATCCTATGAATCTTCCGTTCTCTTCTGCATGAAGTCCAGCTGCAGTGGACCACATTTTACAATCCTGTAGCCTGATGAGTCAAGACTTAGGAGCTGTTGTGAGTCCCAGGTCTTCCACTTCCTGATCGTTAGCTTGAGCCACAAAGTTACTGTGCGAAAGGAGGTTGCTGCTACCTTTCCCAATGCTAGGTACTGATACACCGGAGAGGAATTATCGTTCTGATGACTCAGGAGTCAATTATGGCATGCTCCTCTCTGTAGGGCTTCCCACTAAGTAGTTCCAGCCCCTGAGCCTGTATATCTGAGTGATGATTCACCAATGTTTCCCATATAGTCAAAAAAGAAGAGGTAGGCATCTCAATTAATACTGTAAATCACATTTTACAATTCTATTTACATTGAATATACAGTTATGAAATCATTGCAACCCTTTCCTTACTGTATGCTCAGACATCAAAGATTCTGCCTGTGTTTTAACAGCAGGCATTTTTCTCTTCATTGCTCTGAAGTACTCAGTTTATTATTCCCTTATCATAATCTTCCTCAACTAGAAATATACTACCTGAATTTGCATGAGATTAGGGTAGTAGGTATATTGTGACCTCAATAGTTCTAATTAAGATCCATGCTGAACTAGTCTGTTGTTCTGTTTCTGCTAGCCTGGGGGTTGTCTTTTATGTAAGGAAGGAAAATGAGGCTGAATGGTTTGCTAGAAAAGGAAACCTGCAGTGGAAAACCCTCAAGGCCTCAAGGAACAATAGCTGGAGAATTTCTGAGAGTCCTGTATCTCTGCAGGGTAATGGAAAACAAACCAGCCCATCCTGCTAGTCCCTGTGTAGTTTCTTGTTCAAACGCATTTGTACACATAATCTTATTCCCATACAACTCCAATGAACAATCTCTACCTCTTCCTCTCACTCCCTCCATGCTCCCTCTGCGCTCACTACCGAGCTGAAATTTCCATGAAAAGAAACCTCGTGCGTCATATTTTGTATGTGAGGCATGAGTAGCACAATGACTTCATGCCTGTTTTGGCCCTTTTTAAGTCCTTCCAAGTGGCTGCCAGGATTTGGTATGCTCCAACCAGCAACTCCTTATATTACACAATGGATGTTTCATCATGGCATTAGGTGGGTGGACCCAGACCCCTCTGCAAACCTGCTCAACATGACCCAGCTTTAGATCAAAGGCTTTGTAGATTCAGTGTGTCTCTTGCAGCTTGTTGGTAGCGGAGCTTGTGGACCTTGTTGTTAAAGCCTAATTTGTTTGTCTAGAAAAGTAGATGTAAAGCTATCTGAAACATTTGGATGGCTTTACCTGTTTGTTTTAAAAATTTTCCAGCTCCTTGTTCACAGCTTGCACATACATTGCAAACTTTTGAGATGCGTACTTTTGCATGTGCTGTACCTTGCAGTGTACATCTAACCTGTTTGTCCTTCTGCTGCATTCAGAGGTAGATAGGATGTTGATACACATTTTTGAGTTTATTATTTCATTCACTGCAGATTCATGATGGATTCATGATGCTGTTTCAGCATGTAAAGACACCCTTTTCTTCCCTTCTACTTGCAGCAGAGACTACTATAGGAACATAAGGCTAGTACATTGGGTCTGAACAGTCATTTCATCTTGCCCAGTATTCTGTCTCTGCCAAAATTTGCAATGGATGCTTAAAGCCAGGGTGTAGTAGACATGGAAAAGTATACTGTAAATAATTAAATCATGAACTGATATATTTACCTGGTATCGGGCTCAGAGCCTTCCTGAATTAGAGGTTGCATCTAAGCTGTTGTAGATAATACATATGGAATGGCTCTGGCCTTTAGAGATTCAACTAATCCCTTTCTAAAACCACTTAATTTTTGGCTTCATAATATCTGATAGTAAAGCATTAATCAATTTGTTGATATATAAAAACATTCAAACAGAAAATTTCCCACATTTTCCTGGACTCATTTTATGCCAGTTCCATTTTAAGTTGTTCCTTTGTTCTTGTTCTAGGAGAATTGATAAACCATCATTCCTTATTTACCATCTCCTGTTTGAGATGCTAAAAACTTCTGTCAAATCATCTCTCGGTTGTTTCTTTTTCCAAGCTGAAGAATTCCATAGTAATTAGTCTCTCTTCCTATAGATCCCATATTTCCGACAACACTTCTGTACTTGTTCTGTTTCTACAGAGTGTTCTACAGTATTCCTTCAGAGATGAGATGACAAGAACTGAATATGATATTCAAGAAACATGTTATTTAGCCAGTCGATGATAACTGGACTCTGCCATTACTATTATTATTTGTCTGCTCTTACAGGTTCTTTGATATTATTGTATAGTTATTTCTTTTTTGTCACATGAATTTCTATGTATTTATTAACACTGAATTGATTAATTGATTGAAAGCAGCCCTGCAGAGAAGGGATTGGGAATAATAGTGGATGAAAAATTAGATATGAGCCAGCAGTGTGAGCTTGCAGCCCAGAAAGCCAACCGTATCCTGGGCTGCATAAAAAGAAGCATGGCCAGCAGGTCAAGGGAGGTGATTCTGCCCCTTTACTCTGCTCTCATGAGACCCCACCTGGAGTACTGCATCCAGCTCTGGGGTCCCCAGTACAAGAAAGACATGGACCTGTTGGAGCGAGACCAGAGGAGGGCCACGAAGATGACCAGAGGGCTGGAGCACCTCTCCTATGAGGACAGACTGAGAGAGTTGGGGCTGTTCAGCCTGGAGAAGAGAAGGCTCCAGAGAGACCTTATTGTCGCCTTTCAATATATAGAAGGGGCTTAT